ACGAACAAGCTAACTCCGATGTCACACCTCGCTACCAGTACCTTGCGTGGATTGCCCCATCGACGTATCAAGGGACCATGGACGCTCTAAAGACTGTACAACACAAAGGACGTTATTACAGGAATATATTAGTTAACGTAGATACAAGCGAAAGTAGAACCACTGCCGCATGGGCCAGTCCATGGCGTATGATTGACTGATGCGCGTTGACTATCCTTGAACTTGACGGGGATCGACGATCTGTTCGATATTTAGTGACCCAACTGCTGGATGATTTGGCTAGAGTTCAGTGACATTTCACTGACCCTACAGGTTATATATTTGTAAGTGAACCCCTTACTCACACTATTTATGCCATGTAAACTGATATCCGTCAGTGACAGTGAACAATGGTTTCGATTTATAACCATTGAACTCTGGTTTAATTGTTGAGCAATATAATGCTTAATTCAAAGTACAAAAGGATTATATGTTTAATCGTATGTTGGATTGTTGGTATTTATCATCAGAAAACCCTCTAAATAGTATGAAAATGAAGCCGCATAGCTACACCGACTTAGTGATTATTAAGATAAAATTTATTTTAAAATCAAACCACCAACCCCATAACTGAGGAAAAATCTATTTATCTTTTGTTTTGTGTCCCCTTTCAGCAGAAGACATTTCGACCAATCATATTTTAAATATGTATAACATATCGATTGACCTAATGAGTCTAAAGGGTCATAGTCAGTTAGACTAGAAATGATCATTTGGTTTTATGTAGTACTCATTAAATGATTATGGTTTAAGAACAATTTGCCATGCTTGGAAATACGTATCAATTTGGATTTGCATTCCTGTTAACTGGTAAGTAAATTTTTTTGGTAAAATCTTCTATTCATTTCCATAACCGTATTTATAAAATGAAATTGGATAAATGATCATTAATATTCAATGGAAAGAAGAGGAATTCGACTGTTGATTCGAATTAGGATATGACAAACATTATCTCAAACTTAGCTAGATAATACTTCCAGGAGAAACATGGTGAAGCCTAGTAGGCCCTTCTGGAGAAGAGTGCTACATCAAAGCTGTTTTTGCACTACTTGCGTAGAACCATTACATAACATTCTCATTCGGTTTTTTGGAGGCAGACTCATTTTTTACCATCTTTTTGAAACCTCTATAGTTATGCAATGACTCTTTGTAGCATTCGTAAACGTTTGCGGGTATAGGTAGAGGGGTTGATAAGGCCGATCTCCACCACCCATATTACCGCTCACATTAGTACATGGGTGGTTGCCATGATCCAGGAGGCACGACGAGGACATGTTTGTAGGATTTTGCCTCCCAGATAATATTTAGCATCACACAAATATTTTAACTTTTAGTATCTAAATCCTTAAACTCCGATCGTATTGAAACATAATCTCTGTTATTTTTAACATTATTAGTTTGCTATAATAATGGTTTTCGTTCTTTTCATGTCAGTTTGAGGCAAATCTAATAACATTAATCTATTCCGAATCCAGCACTAATTGATTGTATCATGGTAGAGAGTAATTCGTAAACATTCCGAAACAATCATCACTTTCTGAAATAACCAACAAAGACTATTGAAATGAATTAAAGCTTAGTTAATAGCTAATTGCGGTTTTATGAGGGTTTTTACTTCAGTTATATATGTTTGGCAGTCTAAGTTCACCTGCCTACAAATGCCCTGGTGCGGTCCAGGGTGGAGAGAGTTCACTCTCCTTCTTGAAATGCTCTCACATAGCCACGCGTATGCAGCCATTCACACGGAAGTCCTACTAAGTGCTTTCTCGCAGTGTGGGTGTTACTTACGAAATTGAGAGTACGAAAAGTGAATATCCGGCGCTTTGACTGGGTTGGTGGATACGGTGAATCCACCTAGGAGAGTTGGAAAACCCTGGTTTCAAACCAACGGTTCTTTAAACAAATACAATTTCTAACATCGCTATGCACGGTTAAATAAAAGGTAGAGAAGTTCATAAAAAGCTCTATTCTTGCACAGTTAGTTGACAGTGGAAATCTAGTTGATGTAAAATTGGTCAAACAAGTTTCGGTTAGATGAAGGATAGTGAAAAGGTTGGTCAAAAGTTATCGCAACTATTAATCAGTTTATGTTATCTATTTCAGGTTTGCTAGGCTTGTGGTTACACACTAAGAACATTTCACGGTTAGCGAAGATAAATTCTATTTTACCGTATGGTTTGAAAACGTTTCATTATCATTTGGCTGCGGCTTGTTTGGGTTGTATTGCAATTACACCTTTTAGTGCAATCGGTGTTTATCAAAAGGGGTAAGAATTAATTTAATTTAATATTTATTGAATATACATATTTAATTTTTGGACGCTTGATCTGTAAACCCTAATCTTTCGGATTACTGTTTATACTCTTACTACTTCTACAACTATGGGATTTGGATCGACAACTGAATCTCTGTGCCAATGTGGTATGGCAACTCGAACAGATGTACGTACGTACGTACGAAGTTCTACGTTGTGAATGTCTGACTGACTCTTGATATCTTAATTAGCATGACTTATATTATTTCAGTCTTATGATTAGAAACCACTAAAACTCTAGAATAAATATACACTATGATCAAACATTTATTGAATATAATAAAATGATGATATATTTGTAGTATCACAATGAGTAGAAATGGAAATTAGAGGAACGACCTATTCCTCTGTTCTATTTAAACTTGTATTCATTTAGTTCGGTAATTTGTTTTCTCTGAAGAAGTGGCTTTCACTAGATCACGAAAAGTCAGAAACGTAAATTTCTACTCATTAGGATTATACGGATGTATCATTATTTTATGATTAAAATTCTATCCCATACTCAAATTATTTTCACACCAATTACCACGACGCGCTATGCTGATTAGTATTGGCGATGGTTGGAAGAGAGTTAGGGGCGGCCAAACCAAAACGTGGCATCAGTCCTCCAAGTCACTAACTTCTAGTCTGATCCATATTGGTAGATGCATACTACTTGGTTGGGATCCGCGTGACCATCGTAGCTAATGGTTGGAGACTCTGTGTGACATGGCTCAGAATCGATCACAATGGCGTAGGTGTTTACACTCTTTATCATCCCTTAAACCTTGAGATTAAAATTGCTTCATATCTATCTTTCTTTTTGTATTATATCCTTATATACAACCTACCTTTTGTAGATTACCACCACTAAATTAACTACTTCTATGAATCCGGTGTTCATCTTGTTGTGCTAATGAGTGAGGTATAGCAACTTTGACCGATGCATATTTGTGCCTGGTCCTACGTTGTAGCTGATTGACTGACTTATTTGAAGTAATCAAATCTAACCTTGATAATGAAACTTTCATGGATTAATTATTCTGAGAAGCAATTGATGTTCGATCATCGTTGTCTCCGAAGGATTGCTGACATCCAGTGGCAACACCATGTTAGTAATGCAGAGGTTCAGCATCGTGTGTTCGGGCGCAGAGACGATAATTCAATTGGTGTCATCATCTTGAAACACCGACTTCGGTGGCTTGGACATGTTTTACGAATGTCGTCCCAGAGAATTCCACGTCGTACATTATTTGCCGACTCTGGGACTGGTTGGAAAAAGCGGAGAGGAGGTCAGTGTATGACATGGTGTCGTGGCATGAAAGAAAGCCGCAAAGGGCTGGCTTCTGTTGGACCTTCACGACTCCCTAGCTGGGGTCCGAGAGATGGTGCAACACAGTGGCTAGAGACGTTATCAGATATGGCTCAGAATAGAAGCCAGTGGCGATCCTGCTGCAACCTTCTTTTACTTTCTACATAAAGAGTGGTCATGACTTCTTTAACTGAAAGAGATCTTCTGGTTGTACATTTCAGTCCGCCTTATCTTTTCATCCCTTCTCTTCCTACTTTCATTATTTTGTGTGGCGCATATGTACCTGGTGCCCTTTTGTACCAATATGTGTTTAATTAAATTAATTAAATTAAATTAGAAGCAATTGAAATTAGTTTGTATTCTTGAAAACAGTAATATCAACTTCAATCAACAAATAAGGTTTGTTATTAGTACTTAGCTAGTGACTAATGAATATTTCTGTAATTCCTGGAACTTATTTATCTGAAGGAATATTCCACTACCTTTTGAATTGTATACATGTATATCTCATTCATTTTTGAAGATGAAGTATATTTCATTAGGTATGTGAGCACACTGATGAGACAAAAAAAAACACAGCCCAAACTGAACTTTAATACAAAAGAGATTCTATTATGCTGTTTTCAATGGATTGATTACCAGGTAAAACAGCTGACAAAAACACCGTTTCTGTTTTCTTAAAAATTAAAGTTTGACTTAAACCATATGGTTTTCATATTTGTCTTATGAAGGAAAGTTAAATATACCTGAAGTTTGTGTTGATGATGTAATTCAGAAGGACGATGAAAACTCCACGAACAAACCATCCATCTCAGTGAACAAACCTACATCTATACTAAAAGTATCTTAGACGGTATAAGTTAATTGAAGATGAACTATTAGACTAGTGTTCAAATGTACAAACGTTACTGTATTATCTAAAAAGTTTTTGATTTGATTCTATGTAGTAATTATTTAGTTATTAAGTGTTTAATCTTCTTCAGATACATGCAATAAGCCTTAACCATGGTAATTCGATGATCATTCATAAATCTAACAGCCTATAATAGTAACATAGATGGTACATCTTTCACATCATAATGATATATATATATATATATAATCTAGAGATACTTACTCCCCTTAGTGGAGGACCATAGGCCGCTCACTAGCATTCTCCATCCAACCCTGTCCTGAGCAATCCTTTCCAGTTGTTATTCATCCTTTTCATATCTGCTTCTATTTCCCGACGTAATGTGTTCTTTGGCCATTCTCTTTTCCACTTCCCTTCTGGATTCCAAGTTAGCGATTGTCTTGTAATATAATCTAGAGATGTGAAAGCTTAATCATTTTGTTAAAGTATCAAATGTCAACTGATACAATGAAAGAAAATGTGATTAGATATTCTATCTATTGGTCAAAACGAGTGTTAATGGATTAATAAATCGATCATGCTTTTTTCTTGAATTTATTCAGTATTGATAGGGATAATGAAAGGAATAGATTAGCTGAAAGAAGAATACTGGCATATAATTAGGAAAATACCTAATATTCTATAAATACACTTAGTATTGTTTGTTTGAATCTTCCAATCGATGTTCTAGGACTGCAACTGGTCAGTCTCTAATTGGCATATGTGGATACTGTGCGTATTGCCTCGATATACCTTAATTCACAAGCATGGTAAGCAGAGATGGATAGTGACTAGCAGTGGAATCCAGTTTGACGCGCGTTTCGTCCTATTTGGGACTCGTCAGCACAAGCAAGTGGCTATCAGGACTCAGTGTCCGGATGGATAACGTGATGGCGTTTGAAGCGAAAGTTATTGGGTTCGAGTAGTGGAGTGAACATCAACTCTGAGATACAGGTACATCCAGCTGACAAGTCCCAAATAGGACGAAACGCGCGTGTCCTGGATTCCCCTGCTCGTCACTATCCATCTCTGCTTAATATTAAAGATAGATATTGATAAGCAACTAGTTATCTTATTTAGTTTAAAAGGATTTCAGTTACATTGAAGAAATTGGAAATACTTCTGTAATGAACAGAACACTGGTTGGAGACAATCGAATGTATTTAAGCAAGGATTACAGACTATCTCAGTAAATTCTGATAACCAAACAATGAACAGTCAATTTGCAAATTAACAACCAATTGTTTCAATCTTCACTGTTTCTTCTCTTATTCCATTGCTCATGCATTTTCCAAACGATTGCGCTTCATTTCAGTTCTTTGCTCATCGGTCTTCTACCAAAATACATTCTATGTCTGACCCACACCATATGCTACTTATATGGATATAAGTAGACCACACCACACTTCTACTTGAGCCTTATCTATTTCTCAGTTTTTATTTAGTACTTCATGACTTTGGAGTGTTGAAAAGGAAGTTCCAGTTGAATATTTTATTTCTTTTACATTTCAGATGGCCTTTTGGTCATTTTGGATGTCAGTCATACTCATTTGCTGGAATGCTTTTTGGAATGACATCAATTTATTTGTCCTGTTTTATCTGTTTCTTCACTATGGTTGAAGTATTGAACTTGACCTATAGTAAGTAGACAAAGAATATATTCCCAGTAGTGTCTAATTGATTAACCAATATTCAGCCAACATTATTTGATAAAGTCACTTAGTAAGAGTAAAGTTTTACATGGGCAATTATGAAACTAGAAGGATAACCATTAAACGTTATGGAGCACCGGACAGTTGCTTTATAACAATTTTATCCCTCTTAACTACATTAGAAAACGAGTTTAGGAATTTCGTTTCTTTCAACTAGCGTATTGACATTAGATCTTCTAGTTCAAGTCTACATTTTCAACACAGTCATTTTATGATGCATCATGACTTTGTTGGAAATGACAAACATTTGTTTTTTTCAGAAATTCTTATTTGATAATCACATAGCCTACATAAGCAAAATGACTTTTATAAGACTAAACATTTGGAGATTGAGTCTTTTATTATGTTCACACTTGAGCTATTTTATTTGGAAATTTTAATTTTCGTGTCGTTGAAATATCTTATCCTTCTTCTGTCCTATCGTAGTCAAGAGATTAAGTATTCGCGCGAGAGACCGAATGTCCTAGGTCCGAATCCAGCGTGCGGGATCGTGGTGGGGTATTGCTGAGGAGTCCCATACTAAGACGAAACGGCCACTCAGTGTTCCTATGTTTTCAACGGTGATGTAACATTGATCGATTCATAATCTCAATCAAATAAATAGTCATATTTACTTTGTATGGCCTGTTTATTTGCCTCTTTCCTTCTTCTTATCGTTAACTTCTGTATTTCACTTGGACAGACGGGCCTATAGAATATATATATATATATATATATATATATATATATATATATATATGAAGCGAATTGAACGTTCATTCACCTATCCTTTTATGAAATTCTTTTCCGAAGAATTTGGAATAAAACATTGTTGAACTTAGACACCCTTTGACGGTATTTGATTAAATTATCTTTCAATAAATCATTTGATAACATTATGTAATATTTTAACGCAACGTCAACAACTGAAGATATGCTTGAAACTTTTCTATGCATCTGCTGTCAATAATACAGACGTTTTTTTAATTAAATTCTTAGCGTGGTCTTCTCACTTATTTACTTACGCCTGTTACCCCTCGTGGAGGAGTATAGGCCGCCCACCAGCATTTTCCATCCAACTCTGTCCTGGGCAATTCTCTCCAGTTGTTATTCATCTTTTTCATATCTACTTCTATTTTCCGGCGAAATGTATTCTTTGGACTTCCTCTTTTGCGCTTCCCTTCCGGATTCCAAGTTGGCGCTTGCCTCGTGATGCAATTTGGTGATTTACTTAATGTATGTCCTATCCACTTCCAATGTCCTTTCCTAATTTCCTCTTCAGCTGGAAGTTGATTTGTTCTCTCCCATAACACCAGGCAACTATTCAGACTAATAAAAGAAACCGGAATTAAGAAGTCAAGTGTAAGTGAGGCAATCTCCGAAGAAGACGGAACCCTTATCTGCTCTCAACCCAAACGTTTAGAACGATGGGCGGAACACTTTAAGGAGCAGTTTAGCTGGCCTTCAGCTACTGCACAACTAACCACTACTCCTAGAAAACCTGAATTGATCATTGAAGTAGGCCTCCCGACCCTACTTGAAGTTCAAAAGGCTATAAGTAATCTGAAACGAGGAAGAGCAGCTGGTCCTGATGGATTGGTTCCGGAGGTTTTTAAATATGGTGGTCCAATTTTAGCGATTAGGTTGACTAATATTCTGGCTAAAATCTGGGAGACGGGTGTAATCCCGTCCGACTGGTCACAATCACTGATTGTCCCAATATATAAAAAGGGGTCAAAATCATCCTGCGATAACCATAGAGGGATTAGTCTGACTAACATAGTGTCTAAGATACTAGCCTCAATAATTATCAGGCGCCTAACTAAGACTCGTGAACTGCAAACACGAGAAAATCAGGCTGGCTTCAGACCTGGTCGTGGCTGCATCAACCACATATTTACCATTCGTCAAGTTTTAGAGCACAGACACGCTTATCGGTCCTACGTTGTAGCTGACTGACTCTCCCATAAAACGCTGTTACTGATAGTATCCTGCCAGTGAATGTTTAGTATCTTGGGAAGACAACTGTTTATATATACTTGTACCTTCTTGACGATTGATGGTCTTCTACTATCAACAATATTTGGTTTAAAAGAGCAATTGAAAAAGAAATGGAATTTTTCTATTTGACTTTGACATTTATAGTAAACCAGTGACTTAGACTGACAACAAGTTTTCACATATCTTAATAGAATAACAAGCTCCTATTGTCGTATTTCATTCAGATAGTTTTCTGTAAATGTTTTTACGGGTTAATTTCATCTATAACTGTTAGCTTGTTGTGTTGAACAAGATGTTCGAAGTTACTTGATGTGACATAAGTTAAAATCTTAATAAGTTGAGCTTTTACTGTTATTATTGTAAAAAACGGGATATTATTATGAGTAATGTTTGAATAGTCTCCCTGCTATCATGGAGGACTGAATGCTTATCACTTTGTTGGGATATATGCATCCTGTAAGTATGGCATCAATATGGTCATTATGTTACAGGTTATTTTGAACAAATGGATTTTGTCTAACGGTGGAATCGAGGACTAGTCCCTTACTTATTTACGTCTGTTACGCCTCATGGAGGAGCAAAGGACGCCCACCATGATTCCTTATTAAACTCTTTCTTGAGGACCAATCCCAAATAAGACGAAATATGTACTCTAGATTCCACTATCAGGCATAATCCGTCCAATGTGAGTGGAAATAGAATATTTATCTACATTAAGCTAGCCGAAATTTTAACAATCACCTCAACTTCTTCCACATTCGACTGAGTCCTATACAAGTGACTTCATCAGTCCAGCAAGGCGTATTAAGTTAATGCTTACGTCATACTAATCCTATAGAAATTACCTTGGCTTTTTATGTACACAAGTACGTGACATCAAGATTCAGGTTGTTAATGAAAGGATAATATGTAGCCTTAAATTTAAATGAGACCTATATAGCTTTTGAGATGGTGGAGAAGATTTGTGGCTCAGATAGATGATTTTGATGGAGCTTTGTTCTCTGAGCTGGATGGTTTGGTCGTGGAGCTTTCATCGTCCTTTTGAACGACATCATCAGCACAAACCATCCAGTTCAGAGAACAAAACTTCATCGAAACCTATATAACTTCATGATAAATAACAGTTTAGTTAAGTTATTTTGTGAAATCAATTAAAAACTATCAGTTCCTTGTATATTGAAAAGCAACGTAAATACTGTTAATAAGTCAAGTTGAACTGATAGTTATTATCCTTCATTTTACAGTCCGTAATTTCATATCTAATCGATATAACTATATTCCTTTTGGAATTTGGATAATTGGTGCATTTTGGGCTATTCTACCACTCTTTGGATATGGCAGGTAAAGTGTACTTTATGTTTATTGATAATCTGTAATAGTTGCTTACAATTTCAATGAAGGTTGAATATATTATACTGATTAATTTTACATGTAAATTTACTAAAATACTGTTATATCTTGTGGCTGAGTGGATGCCTAGCTAATGTATGACTTGATAAGACCGCCAATCAAAGAGCAGCGAATTATCGATTGGAACAATGACACACGAAAACCGTACGAGCAGTCTAGAGTACGCATCGGTCCTGCTTCTTCCTAGTCCAGCCAGTTACGTTCAGAAAAGCCTTTGCCGTATGAATCATTGTATTTCAAACATACTGACTTTATATACCAATCAAACAGACTGATCACATCGTACCAATAAAATAGAAAATAACATTTGTACAGGAGTTAGCCAAATGTTGCTGTGAATAGGGGGAACAATAATCAATAGACTGGGGATAACTCAAGAATGGTAAATCATATAATCATAGTTCATAGGTCAAAATAAAGCTTATGATAAGGGGGACACGAATATGAATGGTCTAGTTAGTTAACAATCACACAATAGGAAATATACATATCATATTGGTCCATAAATAGTTCTCAAAGTTACCATTCATAATTCTCTTCGGGATACAACAAATACTAAGTATTAAGATAAATCCACTCAAATAATATCAGTCTTCTCACCGTAACTGAATGACATTCAATAACTGATCTATACATTCAGCAACCAAATTAGCACTTGATAAAATAAGATATGTAGATCCGGGGCTTGAACTAAACAAGATATCTGGTAGTTTAGGACTAATGTAGACTAAATTTCACCTATCAGACTAATAACAATTTTCGTCTTTTATACTAAATAATACTAAATAGTTTCAACTGGAATTTTTCAGAAGAGAGCATCATATTCTATTTTCTTATTATCACATTGGGTTAGTAAATAATTCCCCCAAATGCCCTGGTAGTGTAGTAAACAAAACACTGGTTGGGGACAATCGAATGTATTTAGGGAAAGATTACAGACTATCTCGGTAAATTCTGATAACCAAACAATGAACAGTCAATTTGCAAATTAACAACCATTTGTTTCAATCTTCACTGTTTCTTCTCTAATTCCATTGCTCATGCATTTTCCTACCGATTGCGCTTCATTTCAGTTCTTTCTTCATCGGTCTTCTGCGAAAACACATTCTATGTCTGACCCACACCATATACTACTTATATAGATATAAGTAGACAACACCACACTCGTCCCCCCTTTAAAGCATTCGACCATGCGGTGGTTCTGCTCGCCACGCCACTATCTTCTTTCACTGCAGCCTGTGCCAAACACTCCGTCAGAATGTCGAGTCTGCGGCGCGCTGACCTCCGTAGCTCCGTCGACCTGCCGGGGCACCAACATCCGCATCCACCCGGCACCTGGGACGTTCAACGCCCGAACTCCACCGGCCTGCTGAGCCATCTACATCCGATGTCCGCCCAGCAGCCGCACGTCCCACTGCTCCTCTCCGTCGACAGCACCCGCTACAGCCAACGCCGCCCCGCCAGAACACTCCACTCGACGCCACCTCTCCGGTGGCCTCAACTCCAGACCCGTAGCGGCGTCCGCAAAACAGCACCCTTCCTCCTCCCGGTTGACAGCGACACCAAATGTAGTGAACAGAACACTGGTTGGGGACAATCGAATGTATTTAGGGAAAGATTACAGACTATCTCGGTAAATTCTGATAACCAAACAATGAACAGTCAATTTGCAAATTAACAACCATTTGTTTCAATCTTCACTGTTTCTTCTCTAATTCCATTGCTCATGCATTTTCCTACCGATTGCGCTTCATTTCAGTTCTTTCTTCATCGGTCTTCTGCGAAAACACATTCTATGTCTGACCCACACCATATACTACTTATATAGATATAAGTAGACAACACCACAGTAGAACCGAGAGAGAGGAGAGTTCACTCTCCCTCTCGAAATGCTCTCATATGGACACGTGCATACAACCACTACCAGGGAAGTCCTACTCACTGCCTTCTCGTGACATTACTGTTGTTTACGAAATGGAGAGAACAAAAAGCGAATGTCCAGAGGGAGCTTTAACCGGGTTGGTGGACACTGCGAGTCCATCTAGGGGAGTTGGAAAACCCTAATTCCAAACCAATGGTGCACATGGGCTCCAGTATCCTGAAGGTACAAATGGCGTATGAACCAACTGTTGGTCGCCGGCTACCATAGGACTGCATCTCGTCACGATGCTCCACTGCCTTGTGGATCGGATCTTTATGTCAAAGGCTCCAGGTGTGGCCTCCTAAGAAAACCACCTCCTTCAGTTTGGCAACCTGGGCAGTATCACAGCTCTCACAGAAATCGAATGAGTTTTGTGCGGCGCATATGTATCTGGTGCTTCCTTGTACCAATATTTGTGTTTAAATAAATAATCAGATAAAACTTAAGGATTAGGCCCAGATTTTCATTTCATCTCCTTATTTATCACAGTTTTTCAATGTGGAAAATCTTTTTTCTCTACTGTTCTGACTATTCGAATTTTGAATCTAGACACAGTTTCTTTAATTTTCCCGCTAGCAAATTCTTAGTACTAGTAATTTACAGTTTAGTTAATTCTTTGCTTTATTCTAGGATTCATCCTAAAATGCTATTAAATACTTATAATTTAGAATAAAGTCAGTATATTAATAAGAGTTTCATATTTAATTAACTGACTTAAGATCAAATGAATGAAACCAAACAAATATCTTTATACATTAGGAAATTTTATTCAGCATACGTTTAAAGAGATTATCATCCAGGTACCTGTTTGGCAGGTTAACAAATTACCATAGTTAAGCAGTCGAACATCGATTATTCAGATTTACAGTAAAATATAAATAAACGAAATAAAGTCATAAGATCAGTAATCGTATGTTTGTAATATCTCAGTAATTTTCATAGTTGAAATCATGAGTCAATTGAAGTTAGACCACCATGAAAAACCTGGAAGCACTGGACAGCCGTTTTGTCCTATTATGGGACTCCTCAGTGGCAGTGCGTATTCACGATCCCGCACTCGCGAGATTCAAACCCAGTCCTTCCAGTGCTTCCAGGTTTTCCATGATGGTCTAGCTTCAATTGACTGATGATTTCAAGTATGAAAATACTGAAATCTCCAAAAAAAACCCTTCTGATATCTTAGTAAATAAAAAAAAATCAAATTTCTGATGTTTATTAGGTCACTTGGTAATGATATAAAATCACTATCTTAACTTTCTTTTTAAAATGTTTAGATATACATTAGAACCTCATAAAACATCATGTCTATTGGACTGGACTAATATGGATGAAAATATGAAATTGTATATGTTTTCATTGTTTATTTTTGGTTATTTACTTCCATTTGGTATCGGTATTGGGTCACAACATAAACTGATACAATATGCAGTATCGAATGCAAATAAAAATAATAAGAACACTAAGAAGATTGAAATTCTTATAAAGGTAGGTTTCTTTTGTTTCATTATTGTACGCTTTTCAAGTTATATTTCAAGGAGGCTACAAAGAACAATGATTTGTTGAACTCACTGGATGAGTTCTAATGTTCTGGTTTCGTTTATTGGTTAAGACCAAACTATAACAGAAGAATTGCATTAACATTTGTTTTACTTTCCGCATGAATATTGTCAGTATTCTACGTCGATCCTCTTAACGACTTGATAAAGGGTTTATATGAATCTGTCGAATACTTTATTAGTTTTTAAAGTATCGCTCCAAAATGCCCTGGTACGGCCGAGAGTAGGGAGAGTCCGCTCTCCCTCTCCAAATGCTCTCATGTGGCCATGCATATACAGCCTCTGCCGGGGAAGTCCTACTTACTACCTTCTCGTGGCATTACTGTTGTTTACGAACCGGGTCAGTGGATACGGAAAATCCACCTAGGGGAGTTGGAAAACCCTGATTTCAAACCAATGGTGCACATGGGCTCCAGTATTCTGAGGTAACAAATGGCGCATGAATCAATCGTTAGTCACCGGCTACCATGAGACTGCATCACCTTAAGATGCTCCACTGCCTTGTGGACTAAACTTTCAGGTCAAAGGCTCCGGGTATGGTCCCCTAAGAAAACCATCTGCTTCAGTTTGGACACCCGGACAGTATCACAGCCCTCACACTAATCGAATGAGTTTTGTGTGGTGCATATATGTCTGGTGCTGCTTTGTATCAATATTTATGTGTTCAAATAAATAAATTTTAAACTATCCCAGAAAATCCCTAAAATAAAGGCCTATGAATATATTTACTCTGTAATATAGTGAATTTGCGCAGTTCATCAATATTAAAGAAGCTTTATCTACCACTTATTTTACTTCATGATTTTCACAATTGAAAAGCTTATTTATATTTAGAGAGGGGTTTTGTGGTTATTTTCGTAATTTAATACTAAAATTCATGAATCAATTGAAGCTGGACCACCATGGTGGAAGGTGATGCAATTTCGTGGATTGGTTTGAATTAGACATTAACACCATTGGATGTCAGCTCATTGATCAAGTGGTTAAGCGTTCGCGCTCGAGACCGATGGGTCGTGGGTTTGAATTCCACGAGCGGGATCGTAGATAAGCACTGCTGACGAGTCTCATACTAGGATGAAACGGCCGTCCAGTGATTCCATTACATTCAATTTGAAATAATCTAGATTACTCTGTTGCTGATATTTTGACTGAAATTCGACCATCTATTTTATATTTTCAGAACATTTTCTGTTGACTGGGACACATAGGTTAATAATGAAGATTTCATGGTCTTACCGAATGAAATTATTTTGTTTTTGACTAGATATAGCTCTCTAGATACAATATGCTTCTTTTGGGGCATGAAAATCATACTTCTTATTCTTAGAATGGTTATGATTAAACTACTGAAGATTCCAACGCTACAAAAAAACAGCTATATATTGCTTCTTAATTCTAGTTGGTATTAAACCATGAAAAATAAAATGGTAAATTTGATGCGACTAACAATGTAATGGTAAACCAATTATCAAAGTAATGATAAGAACTATAACATAAGGTGAATTCACTTAGTATTGTTTGTTTGAATGTTCCCATTGATGTTTTAGGACTGTAACTGATCAGTCTCCAATTGGCATATGAGCATACTGTGCGTATTGCCTCGATATGGCCTAAATTCACAAGCATGGTAAGCAGAGATGGATAGTGGCTAGCAGTTGAATCCAGAACGCGCATTTCATCCTATTTGGGACTCGTCAGCTGAGTGGATAACGTGATAGCGTTTGAAGCGAAGGGTACTGAGTTAGAGTCCCGGAGTGAACATCAACTCTAAGATACAGGTACATCCAGCTGACGAGTCCCAAACAGGACGAAACGCGCGTCAAATTGGATTCCACTGCTAGCCACTATTCATCTTTGCTTATAAAATAAGGTGGTCTGAGGTTACTGAGAAAACGTAAACGCTTAGCCGGTAATAATAATGATAATAATAACTAATAAATGAAGCTAAAAACTTAACGGAAATAAACAGTATTATTGAAATTAAATACAAAGTGATGAGAAAGAAAGAGAATATTTTTGCAAAGGTTATAGATAATTAAGCAAAAACGTTAGTAAAAAGGGTTCAGTTGTTACATTGCACCTTTGAAACAAAGCAAGATGATGTAAAAGAACTATTTAACATTCAGGATTTGAGATTAATACAGGTGTAGGTGTATACACTCTTTATCTTCCCTTAAACCTTGAGACTAAAATTGCTTCATATCTCTCTTCCTTCCTGTACTATATCCTTATATACAACCTATAATTTATATACTACTACCAACACTAGATTAACTACTATGAATCCGGTGTTCCTCTTGTTGTGCTAACGAGGTATGGCAACTTGGACCGATGCATATATGTGCCTGGTCCTACGTTGTAGCTGACCTGACCTGATTAATACAAAGAGTCCCCCCCTACTTGGATTGCTTTGTAATGTATTAAGTAACGTATTTCGGATAGTATATTTATTTATATGTTAACAGGATACTGTAACGCCTGTTGTAGGTAATGACAGAAAAATATCAGTATAAGCAATTGTTAGTACTGAATTTCGTAGAAGTCTTTATCTTTTCAATCTTTAGAATAACATTCATAAAGACTTACCGAAAGTGATTATCCCGCTTTACTCTAACATTTTTTTAACTGTTTTAGGCGACACTTTTTAAATGAAACTCATAGTTGTCAGTGAATAAATTTCACCTATGCAATTTGTCTTGATCTCTGACGGATAGTTGGTATCATTTCTTGAAAAATGTTGCTTAATTGGTACTTTACTTATTAATGACTTAAGTCCTCATCATGATCATGTTAGACTTATTATCATCAGGTGTGATTTTCAGTTTTCTCAACATCAATTTATATGTGGTGTTAGTCAGTTTAAGATGATGGTTGGGCAAGGTTGTAAAATTGACTATTATTAAGGGTACAAACTATTGTACATTGACTTAATGGTCTGTTACTCACCATCCTCATCAAAAAAAAACAAAGATCCTGGATTCGATGACGTACAAAGTCTTAATTAAACAACCTAGGACCATAATATGAATAAAGTTTCCAAGATTTTTAATGTTTACTTAAATGATATCGATTTATAATGAGATTTTAATGAAGCATTTCATTTGATCTTTGTTTTCTTCTTCTTCTTCTTCTTCTTCATGGAATAATCAAGTTGAATAATTCCATTCTCTTATTCAACATATTTGGATGGTTATCATATGGTTTATTAGCAATTCATTCATTAATATCTGGACAATTAACTTTGAATCCATTTTCATATTGTATTACACAACTTCTGGCAAAAATTTCACAAGCATTTTTACCTATAGCTTATAGTTATACAGAAAAACAAATTGGACAATGGAATAAAGTTTATGGAAATACGGAATAGTATTGTTCTTTGGATTTCTGAACTCATCTTTGTGTAGTCACTTTTATGTTTTAAAGTAGTTAGATATAATAGTAATCATTATATTGATGAATTGTTTTGTTCTGATTTCATTTCCTATTTGGATAAGTCATGAAACCCTCTATAAACGCTTAAGTTATAAACATGACTTTGATGTAGGTTTGTTCTCTGAGCTGGATGATTTAGTCATGGAGCTTTCATCGTCCATCCTTCTGAACGACATCATCAGCACAAACTTCGGGTAGAAGTGAAGTATTTGAATTTCTCCACATGCGATTTACAATTTGTCCACATGACTGTTTGACTTTTTATAGCGAAACTTCCAGTACTTTCTTGGTTTTATTTTTTACTGGTAAGCTGATTCATATCACAGATTGGTTGACACGATGAAATTTAGAAACTGGAATTATATCAAATCGGTAATAACATAGTCTTCACAATGCGTTTAAATAGAATTTTCGGGTTTTGACAACATTAATAACTTAATGGCTACTTTGAGTAACTGAAAACATCAGACAAATAGAATTATCTCTTGATTAAAAAGACAGTTGAAGTGAGATTTATTTAAATTTTAATCGTTTCTACGTGATAAGCTGAAACACTATTCAATGTTGTACTGAAACCAAGTTCGCTGGAGAAAACTGAAGAATAGTTACCTACAGTTGAAAATTGTCTACTATATATTGGTCGCTCATAAAGTTCATCAGTAAGTATGAGAAAACAATAACGAGAGTGAATGAAATATACTACAATCATGAATTTAGTCTTAATTAATTTTAGACTGTGTTATTATATAAAGGATATATCCAACTACTAACTCAATGACCAACGAGTTGGGCTGGAAAAGAAACTCTATTCAGTAAAGTGTAGTCGCATTTCAGCGTTACCTTTGCCCCCAAAAAAACCAAAGGGGATGTATAATCTCAAAACATAATCAAAAGTTGTTTATTTAATCGACCACTAAAGAAAAAAACTAACAACAAGAATCACCAAACAGATTATTCCGCCTAATAGGAAAAAATTCGTTTAGATCGAAAACAGATAATGAAAGCCTCTAGGAATAGATGTGGCTCACAGTTCAACAAAATCTTGACAATCAATATTATCCAAGCTAAAGGATACCATGAAAAGTAGAGTGAAACTAAATGCTTGCAAAATTAAATGTAATAACCGTGAGAAACCCTACATAGGACAAAGCAGCAGTCCACTCCATCTAAGTTTAATTAAACGTCATGACATAGCTTCTCTATATCAATGGATATGGACATGGTTTTGATTGGTAATACATAGAAATATTAGACAGAGGAAACAAAGAAAGCCAGAGAATCATAAAACGTCTACCACCTTGGTCACTTATCAAGCAATAGATATTTCAACATTGAGTCGGTCTATTAGTTAATAAGGAAAAGTTTGGGATCGTGGATGCGCACTGCTGAGGAGTCCCATAATGGGACGAAACGGCCGTCCAGTGCTTCCAAGTTTTCCATGGTGGTCTAGCTTCAATCGACTCACGATCTCAACTCTATAAAATTACTAAAATCTCCACAAAACCCCTTCTGATAATAAGGAAAAGGTCAAACAAATGCTAGGTCAGGGATCAGGTGAGAGGCAAAAATAGCAAAATAAATATCCAGATAACAACCACATACCTGCGGAAAACAACCAACCAAATTCTAGGTCAAATGAATAAGTAGCTAGTAGATAAATCCTTACAACTCAGTTTTTGCTGAAGTTTGGCGTTGATGTTCTATAGGAAGATAATTAAAGCTTTTCAATTAAAATATCCAATCCAGAGAACAAATTTGCATCCTGAACTATAATTATTCTCCAACAGCACAAGTTGGCATATTTACAATGAGTGAATTGTTCCAGCATAAAATGGAATGACCTACATTGAGCATACTGATGATACGTTAAGTATGAACTTTTCATGTTGAATCCTTCACAAGCAGTTGTAATATTCAAGGTTATTTGAATAAAAGTAATGAGGGAATAAGGGTGTATCACAGGTAATAAGAAGAATTATGTACACGAACGTTCAAGTCAGTCTGAATTACTATCAAGCATTCTCAGTAATAACAAACTAAATGTCGCTTATTCCACATTCTATCTTTCCAAAAATGATGGTCAGTGTTCAAATTTCAAGATTCTTTTGGTTTTTAGTCTCATCACTTTAAACCAATTATGGATCAATGTGAAATTTTCGAAAACTGACTCTCAATTAAACAAAGTAATACTTGTTAAGCACCTTGTTAGCTTTAATACGATTATACTAATTGATCAGCACCATATTGTTTAATCAAAACCAACCACTGAAATGTCTAGTACGTTTGATATACCTTGCCTACCTACGCCTGTTACCCCTCGTCGAGGAGCATAGGCAACTCACCAGCATTCACCATTCAACTATGTCCTGACATACTATCTATTTAATTTTCAAATCCCTCCAGTTTTCGACTCTGGGACCTGAAATGTAACTGGAATCAGAGAATACACGACAATGCTTATTTCCAGGATTAGTTTATATACAGAAAACTAGGTGTGTGTGTGTAGGACTATGCGTGACTTGAAGAATTTAGAAGCTTCTCAAAAAAACACGAAAACTGATAGTCAGTTGAGCAGGCAATCTGGTCGATTCAGCATCGTGTTCAAGTTTCTAGGTTTTAAAAATAGTCGATAAAAAGGTTAATTTGTTAAAGAACAATTTTGAATAGGTGAATTAAATAATAGTTTCAGTATTTCCTATTAGCGATAGCTGCTATATTAACTGTAGGCTGTTGCTTATGGTATCCTGTACATGGACATTGAGTATCTTGTGTAGACAATTGTTCATAAATACCTGTACATTTTTTAGTGATGTTTGTAGCAGTTTCTCAGGTTTCATTCCCGTAAAATAGATCTCTCTTTACATCCGCATTGAAGACACTGACTTTTGTGTTGGCTGGCTGACAGTTGTTTTTAGTTCCAGATATTCTTCAGTTGTAAAAATACTGACCTTGTTTTGTCAATCTGTCTTCACATGTACATCAAGTTCTGCTTCTTTATCGATGATACCGGCCAGATATATGGAAGTCCCCATCTCTTCCGGAGACTCTCCATCAATTTTGATTGGGTTAGTGTTCTGCGTGTTATATTTAAGGTTGTTGCTTTTTCCCTTGTTTGTGTTGAGGCCTAATGATTAAGACAGAAGCTGCTGCCTTACTGGATGTCTTGACCTACATTTGTTGGTGTGTATGGGTAGAAGAGCTTGGTTGTCTGTGAAGTCCAAATTGTCTAGTCACATCCAAGCTGTCTATTGTATTCCGTGCTTCCCCTGAGATGTAATGATCTTCATAATCCAGTTGACCACCGGAAGAAGATAGAGAAATGATGAGCGTAAGCAGCCTAATCTTATACTGGTCTTCAGTTAGAATCCATCTGTGAGATGCTCTATGTGCATTACTTTGCAGTGTAATCCGTCGTATGAATTCCGTGTGATGTCTTAGTGGCCTTATATCTGACTCTAATTAAGTCGTATTCTGATTGTTATCAAAATATCCGTGCCACCAACCCTCGTATAAAATTACTGACTCAAATAGAGTTAGTAAATTAAGGAAACAAATAAGTCAAATATGAGGATGATTTTTCAATACGTATATTTCGTACGATCATTGATCAGAACGCACAATCAGAGAAGCAAAGTGATGCGCAGTGGAAAAGGCAAGTGAGCGTATTAGATTTGATCGAACATGACTCAACATTTATATTCAGACAAAAATAAGTTGCAGACACGGAATGAATAGAGCAAGCAATTAACACATTTACGATCATATAAAACAATCAGGGTTGATAAGCGAATAAGTAACAAATTCAAAATGTGGCTTGAGAATAATGAATAAATTGGTTTTTCCAGAACCTAGAATAACCTATGTGGGCTTGATATAGTACCATTCACTATAGTGTTGACAATCATTTCAGATAAACCATGATGTAGAATAGGGTCCCATTAGGTTCTTCTATTCACATTGTCAAATGATTTCTTAAAATTGAGGAAGTTGATGTATGGTGACGAGTTCCATTCAATCGGTTGTTTAACGATGATCCACAATGTCGTGATTTGGTCTGTGCGCGATCGATCCTTACGGAATCTGGCCTGTGGATTTCAAATTTGGGCGTTTACTGAATCTTTCATCCCGTTAAGCAACACTTTATTGCAAAATTTTCCTGGTACCGATAGTGGTGTGATGCTTCTGTGGTTCCGAGATTTGCTGAGATCTTTCTTTGGTATCTTCATGAGATATCCTTTTTTCCCGTCTATGTTTGAATTCAATGCTTCGGCTTGTATAAAGTCGGTGATTATTGAACACAAATTAGGGATTATTTTTCACATATGATAAGTGTTATATCCCCTGGTGAATTATGAATAGTAACTCTAAGGACTATTTATCGACCAGTGTATTATGCCTATTTCCTATTGTACAATTCTTACGTAACTAAACTATTCATATTCGTGTTTCTTTTATCATTAGCTTTATTTTGATCTTTGATTTATTATCATGCGATTCTTGAGTTATAATCAGTTTATTGATTACTTTGGTTTGTATAAAAACCCAGTATGTTTGTAAATAATGATTCATATTGCCGAGGCTGTTATTTGTGTTCTGGACTTAACGGGCTGGGCTAGGCAGATAGGAAGGACCGAATAGCACCCAAGACTGCTCGTACGATTTCAATCATCATTTCGCCGATCAGTAAAATCCACTACCTCTCCAATTGCACGTTCATATATATTACGAGTCTATACGATATAACAATAAGGCATTTAAACAAGTTTCTAAATTGTCATAGAAATAAGGAATACTAAACTATAGAAAGAAGAACAACTACTTAAATAAAACGTCGAAATAGGATTATAAGTGAATTGAGTAACGGTGTTTAAATTATTTCATATAACTTCCAGTTTTGGTGGAATCGTAAATATTCTCCGGCAAAATGTGCTCCTTGAATAACTTTCACAGTAGTTGTGATTTGTATCCCAAAATATGTTCTGTTACTTACTTGCTTACGCCTGTTACCTCTCGTTGGGGAGCATAG